AGTATCGGATATATTTTATTTTCTTAATTTGAAAAAAGGGTGAGTACAATGTGTAAAGATTCCTGTTAAGGACAAAAGTTGTATATAGATTTAAAACAAAGACGAACTACAATGACCAAATATTCATGTAAGCAAATAATAAATTAATTTTCATTTCTTCTTTATTTTTTACTTAGTGATAGAATTTTAATTATCATAAGTTGTCTATGGATATAAAAAAAACAAAACCAGTTAAATGTTATTTGATAAATAATCTAATAGCTACTGGAGCAAGGATGCTTGTTTTACAAGTTGACCCATGCTGTGTTTGTCTACACAGTAAACACACTTATCAGCATTCATTAGCCATGCTTAATTAAACCTGTAATTTATCTTATCAATCATGCAATATTATATTCTATATCTAGTTGTTAGATTATATTTTTGGGGAATGAGGGTAATTTAATAGCTTGAAATTTGCAAAAGTATTTTAATTGTTTCTTTTTATTCAATATAAATAGACATAATTTCTTCAAAATGTTATAAATTTATCTCTCAACTCTTCAGGAGTAACTATTTCATCATACTTTAACACAAAAACAAATATATGAACAATAAATTGCTCTTATTTATATTTGTTATAACAAAATTCTTTACTTTGTTATTATTCAATGTTCATAATAACCGCCATTTTGTTGATTAGCTTGACCTAGGATGCTGGGTTGCCATGTGTTGCTAAGGGGGGCGGGGCATACCAGTAGAAAATGGAAAGGTGTATTTGAATCTTTATGTGTCATTTTTTACACTTAAGACGGGATTTGGTGATTAATAACAACTGTCAAAGATCGAGATATCTTTTATCATTATAGTAATCATGTTTATATTAAGGATTATCATTTCGAATAACTATAAAATAAAAAAACAAATTACCAAAATTATAAGCACGCTGTCACTGTCAAAACAATATGGCGTATCGATAAATAGTGCAGGTAAAGTCTCGTTCTAACGACTGTGATGTTGATATTATTACACTGATTGGTGTAACGGTTTCCAGTCCCGTAAGTATAATAGTCCCAGACCTAACTGAATACACACATTCTTGACCTCAATAGTAAACCTACAAATGTATTATTTATTCTAATCTACACTACATTAAAATATTCTGTTAATTTTGCTAGCTACCTGAATGATTAATCAGGCGTGGTTTTTTTTCAAAGAAAAGACAAAAAATGTAAAAATATGTATAAAAAATGCAAGCAAATTTTATTTCACTTGTAAAATCATTGTCATTATCATCTGACATAAGTCAATAATCAAGATCTAATTAATTAGTTACAATTATCAGAAATTTGGTTGAAACAATAAACAAAATTGCATAACTCTTACCTGAGCATTTTCTGCAATAAAATTTATTTGTTTGTTCTGCATTTAACAGTAATTGGAAATATCTCGGCATTAGGTTTTGTACATTTAAATTTGAATACAGGAAATGTATTTTTTCTTAATGAAGAATGAACACCAATTTAGATAAAAAATTAGTTATTATTTTTTTTCATTATTGTTGTTGAGAAAGTGCATTCCCAAGGCCTCTTTCTGGAAATTATTAAGCCAGTTATTATTAATGGCATATAAAAAAATATATTATTTGTTTGATGATTTCCCTTTCCATTCATGTCAATACCATTAAATTGCAAATATTTATAAAAAAAAAAAATCTGATAGAGTCTAAAATTGAAATATCAATATATATATATCATTATTTGCATTAATATTGCGAAATTCCTTACCTGTGGGCAATAACATAGAAATTTAACAGTAAGATTGGAAATGAAAAGAGAAAAAAATATTGAAAAAATATGGTCAGAAAGAATATCAGACTAGCTATGAATATGGCTGGATCACAACATGGACGATGCTTTGATTACCAATTTTTTTGCGTATTTGCGGGGGCATTAATAGTACCCTTTTTAAAAAGGAAAAATTATCAGCAGGATAAGATCTACATATATGTCAAGATGACTGAAATTGTAAGTTAACCCATAATAGAGTTGTTCCCCTTTAATGCTGATTTTACTGACAGTGATCATTGTTGAAGATGCAGGTGAACAACACAGGCTCTTCAGAACTTCTAGTTATAAGTACTATTTATCTCCCTGCAGAGGGGGAATAGTATTTTTCTTTCATTAGTATCTCCTTGCAGAGTTGAATAGAATTTTTCTCTCATTGGTATTTCCCTGCAGAGGGGGAATAGTATTTTTCTTTTATTGGTATCTCCTTGCAGAGTGGAATAGAATTTTTCTCTCATTGGTATTTCCCTGCAGAGGGGGAATAGTATTTTTCTTTCATTGGTATCTCCTTGCAGAGTGGAATAGAATTTTTCTCTCATTTGTATCTCCCTGCAGAGTTTGATGGTATTTGTCTCTCATTTGTATCTCCCTGCAGAGTTTGACGGTATTTGTCTCTCATAGGTATTTCCCTACAGAGGGGGAATAGTATTTTTCTCTCATTGGTATCTCCCTGCAGAGGGGGATAGTATTTTTCTCTTGTTGGTATCTCCCTGCAAGGGGGAATAGTATTTTTCTCTCATTGGTAACTACCTGCAGAGGGGGATAGTATTTTTCTCTCATTGGTATCTCCATGCAGAGTTTGATGGTATTTGTCTCTCATTGGTATCTCCCTACAGAGGGGGGAATAGTATTTTTCTCTCATTGGTAACTACCTGCAGGGGGGAATAGTATTTTTCTCTTGTTGGTATCTCCCTGCAAGGGGGAATAGTATTTTTCTCTCATTGGTATCTCCCTGCAGGGGGGGGGGGGGTAGTATTTTTCTCTCATTGGTATCTCCCTGCAGAGAGGGAATAGTATTTTTCTCTCAATGGTTGATAATTTTATACAATTGTCCAACTGATATTTAGAATGATTTAAACCTCTTGTAAGTTTAATTGTCTTGCACATTTAACTAGTAATTGCAGGTGTTACAGTTGGTAGCCAATTTATTATGATGTTAAATTGTTGGTAGCTTATTTGACATGAGCCGAATTGTTGTCCTGTCAAATCCTGGGGTGTTGCTCAAGAAAATATAAAAAAACAAAGGGATGGAAAAAATTGTCCCATTGTTTGATCATGAGTTACAATGTGTCTGTTCTCTCTACGAACTTCTATGCTTGACCAACAGAAATTGTGCCACCTTGATACAATTTGTTTGCCTAAATTTTAATGATTTGTTATTAGTGTTTCAAGTAAAGGCACTTTAAATAATGCTGGTGGTTGTCCTTGTTGCTGCTTGCCATAATTGTTTGCCATTAGTGTTGTCAAATATGATGTTTTTGCCAAACCAGCTACTCAGATAATCTTTCCACTGATAAACTGGTTAGTAGAATGTCAAGTGTATGTTCATAGACCAATTTTGACTTCTGTACTTTACAATGGTACCATGTATTGCATTTAATCATGACATCCTTCAGCATTATAAGGTTAGCTTTCAGAGTTCCTGATGAAATTTAATACAGAAACGTGTTTGTTGGATTATGGACCTTAGAACAAATTGATTTTATTTCAGTTCAAGGTTGATTCGCATATAACTGATCACACCAGTAAAGGCTAATTCTATTTCACATAAATTGCATTTCACAGTATATTAATTGGCATTTTGTTTTACCAAACCTAGTTAGATAGAGGTGGCATTTTTACCTGTAATTCTATACAATATTAAGTTGAAGTGAATTAAAGACTTTGGTCAGCTACCAACTGTTCAGTATATATTTTTTTTACACCTAACCGAGCTTACTGTGCAGATTATGTTTACTTTAGATTTTGTCAAATTATCTATATACGGTTTAGGGTTTGTCTGTTGAACTCCACTTACAGTTAATAAGGATTAACTTTTCATTTTGTAGAAGGGTTGTTCATATACCTGGAAATATTTTTTGATTTTCTTAAATTTTTCATAAAAATACCAGTTTTTAGTCCCCTACTGACAAAGTTGAAGGGGATTTTAGGTTTGCACTCCGTCCGTCTGTCTGTCTGTCTGTCCATCCGTCAGTCCGGCAAATCAGTTTTCCACACTTTTTTTCTTCGTGCTTGAAGATATTGATTTGATATTTGGTGTACTGTTTAATCATGACAAGTTACAGATCAAGTTCATATTTTGTTCCGGTCTGGTGATTTTGTGCAGAGTTATGGTCCTTGGACTTAGAAAATTCACTCAAATAATCAGTTTTCCTCACCTTTTTTTCGTCAAGCTTGAAGATATTGATTTGAAAATTGGTTTATAGTTTTATCACGACAAGTTACAGATCAAGTTCAAATTTTGTCCGATCTGATGATTTTGTAGAGAGTTATGGTCCTTGGACTTAGAAAATTCACGCAAATAATCAGTTTTCCGCACTTTTTATACGACCACAAAAAATTTTGCGGTAGTATATTGGTATCACGTCGTCGTCGTTGTCCGAAGACATGTGGTTTCCGGACAATAACTTTAGTATTAGTAAATAGAAATCTATGAAATTTAAACATAAGGTTTATGACCACAAAAGAAAGGTTGGGATTGATTTTGGGGGTTATGGTCCCAACAGTTTAGGAATTAGGGGCCAAAAAGGGGCACAGGCTCTTTTGGGCCTCTAGTTTAAAATCCCCTTCAGTTTGTAATAAAATTGCCCACTGTTTAACTGTCAGGGTTTGTTTACTTTTCCATTCAGTGTATATAGTATGTAAGAATGAATACAATCTGTATCATTATGTATAATGGGGGAAAGCATACTTCAGTCTATTTTATTTTTAAGGTCAAAGGTCATTACCTTATAACTGTATCATACTCAAGATAATTCAATGTTTTCATAGCACATTTACATTATTTCCTTAAACTTTTCTTGGTGGGGATCAAACTTTTCTGTAAAGGGATCTACATTTTCTGTGATGGGATAAAATTATTTTGAATATAAATATTGAAACAAGATTTATCATATTTATACAATATCAGCATCAGTTTATTACCCTCTGCTAAATTGAATTATTTATTTTCAGTGGTGCTGCACCTATGAACTATGATAACCCTTCAACACCTCAAGCCATTGGTTACAGTGGTCCAGACTCTCCAGCCAGTATATACAGTCAACCTATCTCAACACCAGGATCAAATGTAACCAGTACTAATAACAAGTAAGTCATACAGTCAATATACAGTCAACCTATCTCAACACCAGCATCTAATATTACCAGTACTAATAACAAGTAAGTAATATACAGTCAATAAACAGTCAAACTATCTCAATACCAGAATCAAATATAACCAGTACTAATAACAAGTAAGTAATATACAGTCAATAAACAGTCAATCTATCTCTACACCAAGAGGACCACATGTAACTAGTACTAATGACAATCAATAATATAAAGTCAATACACAGTCAATCTTTCTCAACACCATGAACCAATGTAACTAGTACTTATAAGTAAGTCATATACAGTCAATATACAGTCAATGCATCTCAACACTATGATCTAACGTACCTATACTAATGATATATAGTCATTATACAGTTTATACTGTCTTATTGTCAATGGGCATATGATTTATAACAAACATGTACTGTAAATTCAGAAATTATTGCAATGTTTTTTTCATTATTGTGAAAATTGGGAAGGGATATGTTTTGCAAAAAAAAAAAGGTCAGATTAAAATTTGAATAGCATGTTTTGTATGCAGTAATTTCCCAATCTAAAATAATTTCTACACTATTTTTAGTTAACTTACTCATATATCAAAAGACTCCTTAAACAGTTCCCGAACCTATTCTTCAGTACACCTATTTTGGACCTATAGTTACTAAAATCTTCCAGCTGTAAAGTATGCAAGACTAAGAGGAAGAGAAGTTATGATATTGCTAACATAACTTGTACTTATCACACATGCCTCTCAGTGAGAACAGTGTTTACAGGCAGCCCTTTTCTGCTAGTTTATTTTTACTTGTACTACGCAGTGAAATATCACATAAAAAGGACCATACATCACATTTCACTGATACTGATACAATTGACTATACATAAAGTGTAAATATGCATACATGTTTGATTGAGTGTACATAGAGTACAAACACACTCAAATATATTTGATTGAGTGTACAATGAGTAAAAACACACTGATAGAGAAATTCAGATATTTTTGTGGGTGCTTACTTGTGCGATTTGTGGACAAAAATGGAAGTTTAATTATCATGAATTCAGGAAATGTTGTATACAAATAATGCTATGAAATTTATAGTGGCATTTTTTTATTTTAATGAAACTCCTGTCGAAATTTTCACAATAATGAAACATCTAAAAAAAAACAATCTGTTTTCACATTATTTGATTGATTGTAGATGGAGTAAATAATATTATACATATTTGATTGATTGTAGATGGAGTAAATAATATTATACATATTTGATTGATTGTAGATGGAATAAATAATATTATACATATTTGATTGATTGTAGATGGTGTAAATAATATTATATATATTTGATTGATTGTAGATGGAGTAAATAATATTATACATATTTGATTGATTGTAGATGGAGTTAATAATATTATACATATTTGATTGATTGTAGATGGAGTTAATAATATTATGCATATTTGATTGATTGTAGATGGTGTTAATTATATTATATATATTTGATTGATTGTAGATGGAGTAAATAGTATTATACATATTTGATTGACTACAGATGGTGTAAATAATATTATACATATTTGATTGACTACAGATGGTGTAAATAATATTATACATATTTGATTGATTGTAGATGGAGTAAATAATATTATACATATTTGATTGACTACAGATGGTGTAAATAATATTATACATATTTGATTGATTGTAGATGGTGTAAATAATATTATATATATTTGATTGATTGTAGATGGAGTAAATAATATTATACATATTTGATTGATTGTAGATGGAGTAAATAATATTATACATATTTGATTGACTGTAGATGGTGTTAATAATATTATACATATTTGATTGATTGTAGATGGTGTAAATAATATTATATATATTTGATTGATTGTAGATGGAGTAAATAATATTATACATATTTGATTAAGTCAAGGAGGTCATATAACCTCCTTGATCAAGTATACATGGAGAAGAAACATTGCACCTATGAACTAATAATTTCTGTAGATATTAGATAGAATTTATTGAGGAGTTTTATTGATCACTAAATTGTTTGATTTTAGTTTAATGGATCTTGGTGCAATAGCTGAAGCGAGTGAAGATGACATGCTGGATGCATTCATTAGCCTTGACTATAATGCTGATAATCTGAATGACATGAGTCTCATGGAAATATTGCCTAGTATGATGGCTAATAATTAAAATTATAAATATGTTGTCATTGTTATTACATGTATATCAATAATCAAAATTGGAAGGTAACCAAGGTTGATTTGATAACAGTGACATAATATACTCTAACAAAAAGAAATATATACAGCAATTAATGAATGTTATAAGAATGTTGAATCATTGACAACCTACGTATTATTGTTTGTTGAATTAATGTCATATCAGTTCCTCTTGTAAAATATTACCAAAAAAATATACAATAACTGTCGTTATTATTGTATTGTTCAGCTATTCTTATTTTCAAATTTATTTAAGACGACCATTCAAAAAATGTCTGTTTCCCCTCATCCCAGGTCATGGTTTTAAATCAGACCAGGCAGGTATGTTAAGTCCTCTTAAGATAACTCAATTTCAAGCCAGACTGTGGTTTCAAATTGCTGATACTTCAGATGAGATTTTGTGAATTTTGGAGCATTTGAATGTAAAATTGTGAATAATATTTGAATATCTTGTTACCTGAAATGTGGTGCCAAAATGGATTAAGGTGCATTTTTTCATTCCAAAATTTTGCTACTGTTTCTTTTTATCCTAGATTTTTATTATGATATGACTGAGACATATTGACAAAAGAAAAGAAAAGAATACTAGGTTACTAAAATATAAAGAATAATGGCCAGGCAAAGAAATAAAGAATGGAGAAAAAGACCCAAAAATGTTTTAAAGACACCCAGAAATTAAGACTCAACATCCTCTTTTATTTGTGAAGATCAGAACATAGAACAATTTAATTTCATCAAACATTTATTTTGGACTAAATATTAAATCTCTATTAACAGTAAATTCACACAGTAGGTTATTAAAATCAATCAATATATGATAATGTCATAAATTACATGAGGTACTAAATAAATATGTCTAAAACAATTGTGTATTAAAATTTTATTCTGTATGATGTCTGTACTTGGTAAATACTTAAACAATGTTTATTTTGTGTAAATACTTATACATTGTTTTACCTTGAAATAAGAAAATACAAAGCTTGTTTGTATGTTGGCACTGAAGTTGGAGTATTGAGTTATTGGTATTTTATTTATTGCTTAAAACAAGGATTTATATAGTAAGACTTGCAACCTAAATCCTCGTTTAAAACAATACAAAAATAATGCAGTGACTATTTTTATGCCCCCGCCGTAGCGGTTGGGGCATTAAGTTTTACCCTTGTCCGTATGTACGTACGTACGTATGTCTGTACGTACGTCCCAAAATTGGTTTCCGTTCTCTAACTTGTTTTAACTGGTTATGGTACATAAAGATATATGAAACAAAGAAATATAGGCCACGACTATATGGTCCTTTTGTACTCTGTTTCTTTGTTAGGCTTTGCCTTTTCACAAAACTAAATATCCATCAATGAATGGCGAAAAATTTAATCGTTACAATATAAGAAGAATTAATCACTTTTTCAAAGTGCAGTTTGAATTCATTTCTTCATGTTGTCAACTGTTGAAAAAATCAGCCTATTGTTAAAGAAAGGCAGTTGTTAATATAAATCAGATTTGGTGTAATAAGAACATTCTTATCCACCAATTCAAATGATTGACTTTCTGTTTCACAAGAAGTTTAAGAATTCAAACAGCTAATAGATAATTTTGTCAGCTGTTTGAAGAGAGGAATTCAATAATAACTTGAAATTTTCTGTGTCCTTAGTTTTATGGAAATGGCATAACTATTTGGATTTGTACAGTAAATCCAAAAGGAGGTGCTGATATCATTTGTGGATTCTGTAATAGACCTGCTTAGTTTTTAATGATTAGATAAGTACCACCATGACAGAAAATGACTGTATCATAGTAAGACAATCTGATTTGAAGGTTGCTTTCACTTTGTTATATTTGCATTGGTAATACATATATCCTTATTATTTTTACACTGTCCATTTCTTCTGAAGTCATTGATTGAAAAAAATGGTTTTAAAGTAGTTATTAAAGAAGAGTCTATAATTATATATTTGAACTTTTAATATTTTATCCGTATTAGTCATTGTATATAAATGTAAAAGAAGAAAGCACAATACAAGTTTTTATGTATATTAATGTAAAAGAAGAAAGCATAATACAAGTTTTTAAGTATTAATGGAGGAGATATGATAAGGTTATTGTTTAGGTATTATAAATATGTCAGAAAATATTTTTATTGGAAATACTTGCTTTGATAACCTAAATGAACATACATATAGGATTTAAAGAAGCTTTTATAATATTTTATTGCTAAAGTACCAGCCATTTTTATGCAAATATGTCATTTGTGATACCATACCTAAGAAGAACATTGTATATTAAGGATTTTAATAAAAATTTGAAATTTTTTTCGTTTCTTTTAAGACAGAAACTGTCGTCCAAAAAATATTATCAACAATTGAATATGATCAGGAGGTCTTACAGTATGTAAAATATCTTATTAGGGCTACTCACATGTAAAACAGATAAAATGGTGAGTGTTTGGGTCAATAGGAACTTTTGAACCCCAACCATGCATAGAATTTGAAAGATTACTTATTATATGTCTTCAGCTAAACTTAGAAAACAACCCCAATGTAAAGCTATTGTTTAACAATTGTAAGGGGAGATAATTGACAAACCTATGCAAGTGCCTAGACATTAATGTTATCATATTTTTTTCTTTTGATTTATAATATGTGCCATATGATTGTTGTATGACAATGTATATGTAGAAATATATGAACTTGTGTTTTGATTAATGATTCATTTTGTTTACTGATTAACACAATTTCATAAACTCATATTTATATATCCTGTGTTTGTCCATAATCCCCCAATTTTTTACTAGCATGGCATTTTCATTAGTGACTTCAACTACAGCTTGGTTGTTCTAAGAAGTCATATTTCAGATAAACACATGAATCATTAGATCACCAACTCATATGCTGTGCTTGAATAATTTATTATGGAACAAAATAATAGTTGTCATGGATAACTTTTGTTAGGAATATTAATTGACATCCTTAATCTTACAAATTCTTCTTATTCAGTGTGATTGAAATACTAATAAACATCTTTAAATTACCTTGATTTATATAGATTATTGGATTTTCTTCACATCGATGTTGTAAAATACACATGATGAACCTTTTTTTGGCAAGTAATAGTAGAGAACTATCCAAAAAACCTTACATTGTGTATAGTGACTGATTTTTTACAATATCTATACTCAGAAAACCTGATAATCTGTTTATCATGCTATTTCTGGTTTTTTTTCCTTCCTTAAGACAGTTTTGCGTGTGACAAAAGTAAGCTTGATAACTACTCGTCACACATTGTGACGTCACTGATAAGCTCTGCTCATGTCTCAAAGCCGTGATACAAGAATTAAGGAGCGACTGAGCAGGGTGATATAGGCAAAGGGAAGCGCAATAATTGTAGTTATTGGCATGATATTTTCTGGTTGACCTTAATTATGAACTGTAAAGTTTTCAGGCAGAGTTTTTTGCTGAATTTTGGACTTCAGATGGTTGAAAACAACATCTTATGGTATATGGTTATCTTTCTGTTGTATTATTATTTTTACTTCTGATTATTAGAAATTTGTATCTAAACTTTACTATTTTAACATGGAGTTTGAGTGATTCATTTGCATAAAGGTATTTTTTATATTCAGTGACTATTCAATGTCAAAATAATGAATTTATACATATATTATATATATATATATATATATCAGTTGATGAACATAGAAAACAGTTTTCGTGCCACACATACCATTACAATGAATTTATTCCACAGAACCATCAGTTTGAATATGCTTTTAAAGTTGTATTGAAGTCTATATTATTGTATGATGAATAAATAAATGAATATAGTTTGTTTTTGTTTTTTTTCCATGGTACCCATACACGATTTCAGGTGAATTTTCAGATGTCAAGCACATTAAATATTTAATATTTGGTTTAGTTTTTATTGTTAATTTTTAGCTCACCTGGACCAGAATGATGAGCTCTACCTATTGTCTGTTCACGTCAAAACTGTCAGACGACTACTTTTAGGAGTTTATGACCTAAAATGACGAATTTTACTACTTTTTCCTATTTTGTCTATTATCTTGAAAACTATATCAGATAGAAAGACAAGATATAAAAATAAGCCTAATGGCCGATTTCTTCAGTTGACTGGTTTTTTGAAGTAATTACTCTTTAATGACGATTTTTACCAATTTTTGGCGTTCTTGAAAGTTATAAAAGATAGATAGATACTTTAAATAACAAAAATAACGAGCAAGACAAGATCTACAATCAGGTCACATTCTGCCGAAAAAGTTAGTAGATAGGAGTGATTGTCCTTAAATGACAATTTTGTTACCTTTTTTTGTGTTTTGGGCAAAAACTTAAACTGTAAATAGTAGTCTACAATGTTGCAGATGTAGGAGTACATGTAATTTATTATATACATGTTCAAAATGTAAGTCATCTGGCCGTGCAGCTATGTCATTTATGGTTATCTTCATCAGCGAGACCATCCAGTTCTTCAGGGGATAATTCCGAGAACGGAGAATCTAAATGACTGATAACAATAATCTTAAGATGTCTGCTTCAACCCCTGTAAAGGTTGACAGCCTAGAATATGAGTTAGAATCACATCCAAATAAGGAGTTTGTCTCTAATTTATGTAATGGTTTAAGATCAGGTTTGGAATGTATGTTTGTTGTAAACAAAGAATGTTTTTTTCTGCAAGTTCACAACCTTATATTGTTTCTGATTTGATCGAAAAAGAATGTGAAAAAGGTTTTGTTTATTGGTCATTTAAGACCTTACCTTTTCAAATTTATAGGGTAAGCCCTTTGGTAGTAGCAACTAGCAAATACACAGATAAAAAGCTCATCTTAGATTTATCTTCTCCTTATGATGATGAAAATTGTCAAAGCTTTAAAGCGTTCTTGTTCTATGTCATATGTTAAAATTGATGATGCTATTCATACTATTCTTAAGTGCGGAAAAAACAGTACCTTATGCAAGTTCGATATTTCAGATGCATTCAAATTTTGTCCTTAAAAGTGATCACAGTGGCCTTTGTTTTGTTTCATATGGAAATCATATTACTATTTTTATGTACGACTGACGTTTGGCTGTCGGTCTAGTCCAACAAATTTGTATACTGTTTCCCTAGCTGTTTGTTACATTGCAGTTAATAACTATAAGGTAGAAAATGATTTATTAGATGACTTTCTTACTATTGACAATGATAATGAGGATGGTGAGAGAACTATGGCTACTATGACAACAATTTTTAAATGGTTTAATATACCATTAGCAAAAAATAAAATTGAAGGTCTTGTTACCTGTTTGGAATATTTGGGAATTATTTTAGTTAATACAAAAATGGAATATAGACTACCTAACGTAAAGGTGAAAATAATTTGTGACTTTATTTACAAATTATTGTCAAAATCATCTTGTACAAAGAGGGAATTACTACAATTATTGGGTCATTTTAATTTTGCCACAAGGATTATTTTGCCTGGTAGGTCTTTCTTATCCTACCTGATTGATCTGTCAACTACAGTTAAGAAGTTACGTGAATTTGTACATTTGAGCAAAAAATATAGAGTAGACTTAAAATTTTGGCTACGATTTCTAACAAGTTGGAATGGTGTTTCTATGTTTCATAACACTACTTTTTCGTCTAGTTTTCATATTGAATTGTACACGGTTGCTGCGTCCACAGTGGTATTTGGAGGTTACTTTCAAAAGACATAGTTTTATTCTACTTGGCCTGTAAATCTTCCTTCACTTACAAGTACAGTTTCTATGGCCTTTATGGAACTATGTCCCATTTTAGTAGCAGCTCTGTTATGGTCATGTAAAAAGATATTATTTTGGTGTGACAATGAAGGATAAGTGGCTATTGATAAGAAAGGTCGATCTTATTGTTTAACGATCATGAAACTAATGCGTCAGTTAACTTGGTGTGCAGCACAATACAAGTTTTACTTTTCTGCTAAACATGTACCTGGTTACCACAACCAAATCTCTGACGCTTTGTCTCGTTTGCAGATTTTAATTTCGCAAGCTAGCTCCACATGCAGACCAGAACCCTTACACATACACAAGTGTGTGAGAGGTGATATGGTCTTAAACAGTACAATAGATAATGTAAGGGCACATGCAGTAGCAAATAAAATAAGAACTGTTTTTTGATACAGGTAATTACATTTTGTAAATTTTCTTCTTTTGAATGGTGTTCAATTGCAAAGTGGACATTTACCTCCCATTTCAGAGGAGTTATTTGTCTTTTTACTGCTCATTGTTTCAAATTTTTACATTTGCAGTACTCAACGAATAATTCATACCTATGTGATGTTAGCTACAGATATCGCAAGATAATGTTCCCTCCCCATTTACACTAACGGATAAAGATCACAAATATTTACTGAGACTTTCTATGATTTTGAAATTAACCAATCGTTGACAAAAACAGACTGTTATACCACGCTTGCCTATTACTTTTGACATACTTCTACTTCATAAGATTTGTCTGAAACTGCGGTCAAGCGTTTTTGTTCTAGTTTTATAGATTGCATGTTAGAAACTGTATGTTTTATTGCTTTTTGTTTTTTTTACGTTGTGGTGAATTTACTGTAGACAAAGGCATTTAATTTATTTTGATGCAGAAAGCAACTTGTGTATATCTGTTGTTTCATTTCACACAACCTATGTTATATTACATCTCAAGCAATCAAAATCTGACCCCTTCAGACAAAAAGTAGACATACAGTCGCACAAGTTGAATAAACCTTTATGTCCTTATGCAGCTTTGAGCCAGTACCTTCGGGTCAGACGATCAACAGGGTTGTTTGGAGAAAACGATCCATTATTTATTACAGATGGTAAATTGCCCTTGAGAGACATTTTTTTATAAAAAGTTTAAAACATTTGTTGTCATGCTGTGGCTTGAATGTTGATTTATACAATGGGCATTCATTTCGTATTGGGGCAGCTACGTCTGCTGGTAAAGCAAACATTAAATATCATCTCATTACGTAGGTGGAGTTCAGACAGTTATTGCCGTTACATTAGAACTGAAAAGTCCTCCATCAGGCAAACTCAACAACACATGTGAAGTATGTCGAAAGAGTAAATCAAAGGACAATACTATAATTTTTTTAAGTTTATAAAAATACAAGCAATAAAATACATTGGATTTGAAATCTGCAAGGATTTGTTAGACTGTTTCTTAAACCTTCAGCACTCTGTATGACAATTTAAGTACTGTCACTTTAACCACAGATTATTTGAAACAACCATTTTACATGAAGGTATCTTGCAATTTTGAACATGATGAAGTAACTTGAGAGTTTGTTGATGTGCTTGTAGTAGGTCATATAATACTGTCACCTGTAGATAATAATCTAACCTCGTTATGTTTTTATCAATCACTTATGTATCTTTTTTTTAGCATTTATTAGTCTGTACTAAGTCACAAATCTAGGCTACCTGTAAATATTGATTTATCTCTAATTGAAGAAACATGTGATTTTGTTTAATGTGACATATTACATATATTTATGTACTTTCTCCACCGTCAATTCAACACCCTTTGATTGTAGCCTCTTGCTGCGAGATGAAGCGTCGCTGCATCATCTTTTAGGAACATCGTTCCGGTTAGTTCACTGAGTGTCCTGTCCATGGCCATTTGGTTTTCACAAAGGTTATCGACAGGGCCTGGAGCTTAATTTCCCATAGCTGAGAATCTGACTCCCAAGTGCCAAATTAAAGTTTTTGATTTAGATTAATAAAGATGTAAACTTCATACCTTTGTTATCAACAGCAATCATTGCAATTAAGGTAGTCTATGTTGTATCTCAAGGATAATTGTAGAATATGATTAATTTGGCAGCCCACTTTAGTTCAGAGGAAAGGGTTTGTGGTTTGAATCTAGATGAATATTTCATGGTCTTCATTGTTGTTCTCTCAGGGCTGGTATTAGATAACCTAATGGTATCTTATGGTAAACTAAAGATTAAATCCAATATAAGGAAAATAAAGATTTACTCAAATATAAGGAGGGGGCAACATAACAGAAATATGTCAGTATCGTCTATCGATAAAGAGTTGGATTACTAGGACATTAACATACAAAAAATGACACACTTTTAAACAACAAAGAACTAAGAAACAAATGAATACAAGTGTATACACTATAATGAGAAGTTGCATAAACATGGAGAGGAGAAAGACGAAAGAGACGTCCACCTTATAAATTAGGGTTGCTGCAATCACTTGGCATTCATCACGTCATAAACTCACTTGAATCACCAAAATGGAGTTAGGATCATTAGGATCTATCAGGCCATACGGATTATATGTTATATATATATATATATATATTTCATCGGTTTTTGCAATAACTATCACCCTACTTCTTGAAATAAATCAAATAAACGTGTATTTAGAATTTTTATTTTGGTTTCAAGATGCAGAATTAAAAATGTATTAATATTTTGGATTTTGGGCCCGTTTTTTAAATTGGTCCACCTCAGGGTCAAAAGTGTCCAAAAGTAAACTTTGTTTGATTTCAACAAAAATTGAATGGTAGGGGTTTTTGTAATCCTGAATTGCTTATATCTGATCAATTTCATTTGTTTGTTTACGTTACATAACGAGTCACCTCCCTTACAATGTTTTAGCTTATAATTTATGTCTTATCTTTGAGGTGATATGCAAATGAGAAGCTGTCATTTTATTTTTAAATGTAACTTAGAATTTTGCTGTTTCAGATATTAATTTTAGTGATTATTGTTCTACTTTAAGATTGTATTTAAATGATTTCCTATGGTTGAAAATTCCATTCTATCTGTACTCCACTTTTAG